ATAAGGAGGTGGAACAGAACAAAGGGGGCGGCCATCATGAGAAATCCCCTAGCTACCACCTGAGCTGGAACAAGGGCTGTACCAGGGGAAAGGATTGTGCCCAGACTAGGAAGGTGTCCAGTCTGTGAAAGAAACTTATTGAAACATCTCTGAGAGTGAGATTTTATCTGTATTCAGTTTTATTACTATACTAGGCTTAGACTTGCATGCTCTAGTTTATTTTGCTTGATAATTCACTTTGTTCTGTCTGTTACTACTTGGAACCATTTAAATCCTACTTTCCATATTTAATAAAATCACTTTGTAATTATTAATTAACCCAGAGTATGTATTAATACCTGGGGGGGCAAACAGCTGTGCATACCTCTCTATCAGTGTTATAGAGGGCGAACAATTTATGAGTTTACCCTGTATAAGCTTTATACAGGGTAAAACAGATTTATTTGGGGTTTGGACCCCATTGAGAGTTGGGCATCTGAGTGTTAAAGACAGGAACACTTCTTAAGTTGCTTTCAGTTAAGTCTGTAGCTTTGGGGCATGTGTTTCAGACCCTGGGTCAGTGTTGGAGCAGACGGGTGTTTCTGGTTCAACAAGTCAGGGTACTGGAGTCCCAAGCTGGGAGGGAAAGCAGGGGCAGAAGTAGTCTTGGCACATCAGTTGGCAGTTCCCAAGGGGGTTTCTGTGATCCAACCCGTCACACTGTAGTTGCCTGCATTTTCACTAGAGTACATCTGATTCATCCCACAATAAACCATAGGCTAGAAAAACAACCACACATCTGAGGAGCAAGGTCAGCTACAGAAGATACAAATCCTGCTCCTCATTAACCAAGTGGGTAACTACACTCATCTATCTAATCTGCTTCAAAGGGTTTCAGGGACCATTTTCCTGAGACAAGCAAACTTTTTAAAAATGTATCAGCTCTAAATTGAAACCTCTTTTCCCAGATAGGCTTCAATTCTTAAGAGCTGAAACAAGACCATAACAGTTTTCTTAGATTGTAGTTTGTTCTTCACTAAACCCAGTTGTATTTTAAAGTGACTAGAACCAAACTGATTATGATAGGCAGATTTTTGGAACTCCTGCCCCAAACAGCTGGAATAAGCTACCTGTTCTGTTTAGGTAGGTATTGTCTACTTTCAAGAAACTTTTGAACTATCATCTTGAAAGGAACTGAAATAGTATGCCACATTTAGTGTAAATAAGGACAGAATTTGGCCTTTGGACTGCAGAGTGTTTTCTGCTATTTTAGGTTAATTGTCTTGCATATAATATTGTTGGTACAGTACTGAGCATGCAGCTATACAACTGTATAGCTGCTGTTTCTCAAGAGCCCTCATGAAAAGGAGATGCCTATTTTATAAGGTTATCCCAGTGAGCAACATTTTAAATATTAAATGTATACTTCCTCATTCACAGTGAGGAAAAAAAAGTGAGGGAACTCACGTTACTTATGAATTTATTGCAATTCCATCTATTTGGGACTGCAGCTGAGGACCTCTCAAACTTCAGATGATGCACAATGTGGCAAACTTTATTTAGTGGCATTTTCTTCAGAGAGTATATTACACCTGTGCACCACACCACAGCTTCCAGGGTAAAGAAGCTGATTTTAACTTATAAGAGCACTAAATTATTTGGGTTCTGGATACCTTATAGACTTTTTCTCTCTTTGCATGATACCCTGGCAGTGGAAAATAGCAAGGTGCTTAAGCGAACAGCTCCCAAGTTTAAGAAAAGAGGATGCTTTCCCAAAGGATATTTTTAGTCTTCAACTTCACAACTTGCTCCCTCCACCTCAGTTTGTCAGAGTCCAAATTTGTTTGCTTTCCAGCCTTCTGGAGGGTACAAAGGATAATTAAGATTCACTGACAGAATTTTGATATGGACAATGGTCCTATTTGTACCATGGACATGCCCTTAGAGTGTGGACAGGTGGTTTATTGTTAAGCTTGAAACTGTAGCCATCCAAGCCAAACTGACATGTAATACCACATTACTAAATTCACATCCAAATAAAATAGCTAAGTTACTTAAAGAGCTGATCCTGTTACTCTTACACATGTTGAGTAGTAACGTAGGGTGAAAGTAATACCATTGAAACTTGTGGAGAAAATGCTATTCCACATAAGTGGGGCAAAATTGGACCTTCAATAAATAATGCTGCAGCAGAAGTCTTAATTGAGGAGCAGTGCATAACTGATCAGTCTAATGAGGTCTTCAAAGGCAGTTTTCTTTCTTTTCATTTCCCATTTCATTTTTTTTTAGTCAAGTAAACAAGTTTTTTGTATTTAACTCAGAAGAAGAGCTGAAGTTTAGCGGTTCACTTTGAGCACTGCCAGTTTTAGAAATGACAAAATATATGTTTATGAAAGGAGCAAGACAGGCAGTCCATTAAGATAAACACATTTGATTAACGTTATGATATACACAACATTTAAAAAATCCCCTACTGAATGATTACCATATGGTGGTTCTTTGCAGATGGAGTTTTCACTAGTGATCAACTGTACCAAAACATCTAAAAATAAAGTTGTCCTAAACTAAAACAAAAACAATTACCAGCAGAGGCTTTTGCATTCTAAGCTAAGGAATCAATACAAGCTGCAGAAATGTTTCAAGAAACTATGTAAACAAACACTTGAGAAAAATAGCAGTGTTAAACTATACTGCCCCACAAATTTGAACAATAAATGTAATATACCTGTTTGGGTCTCTTTCAAAAGACTATTCTTAGCTGCCAGAGGAACCCAATCAATTTAAGTAAAACCTTGGCCTACAAACACTCACTGAGTAAGTGAATCTTAACAAATCTAATTTCAATGAAAGGGACTAGTTGAGTCAAAGAGCAGTCCTTGGTGTTCTTTGCTCCAGTGGTTTCATGTAACCACTGATCACCAACCACTACAATAGCAAACATACAACACCCTTAAACTAAATGGGAGTTGTCTGTCTAAATATAGCTACTTTTAAATAATGCATCATGAGTTATAAAATAAAGTGCTAGTGAAGTATTTATTACAGCTCTTTTCTTTAACAAAGGTATATCACTTTTAAGTAGGTGGAGAGTTATTTATATTCTGGTTTGCATATTATCATTGTCAGTTGTAACTGATAAAGCAAGAATCTAGATTTCCTGAACACACACTACACAACAGTTATATCAGTAGTTAGTTTTTCCTATACAAATCTGATTCACACACACACACAAAAGGAACAAAAGATGCAAGCTAAGTTTAGAAAAAGTGACAATTCATTAGGTGTCTTTTTAGCATGCAAGACAATAGGAGACTTGTGCGATCTTATTTCTCACAGAACTGATTCTATCACATTCATATACTCCATAACATTGCTTTATGTGATTATACAACCTTTTCAGAGCTGCTTGAAAATTAACAAACACATTTAACATTGCAATATTAAAAAATTGTTACTTTTTAAATATTTTGAAGATAGTCACATGCAAGAGATGTCAAGACTGAATTTTTTGTATGGTTTTAAGTTTAAAGAATAAGAAATATTTGTCAAAAACAAAATGTTAAGTAATGCTTTGCTACAAGAATTTCCCCCAATGGGGAAAGTACAGATCTGTAATAGTAAAACTGACTTTTAGTAACCAAAAGGGAATGTCACCCTATCTTCTTAACAGGTGATTCCTGAGTAAAATTTCTGTCTACCCTAAACTGTTGTATAGTGTTACTCTATGCTGATAAACAGTTGATGCTTTTCACCTGGAGGTGGCTGCACTTAATCTTTTACTAAAGTGAAATCCATATTCTGCCACTGATCCTCAAACTGCCAACAATAAGGAGAGTTCTGGAGAGAAAACAACAGTGAATGACCTGTTGTATAAACAATGTGGGCCTGCAGAGTCGTTTTGACCCTAAAAACTGACTCTATGATTGCTCAGTAGTACAATGTCTTTACTGACTTCACTACATCCATAGAAACGTTAACTTCGATAGGGGCGCTGGGCGGGCAGGCAGGCAGTTTCTCTGTGCAGATCCAGTTGCACGATCAGGGCATAGTTGTAAAGTGTTTTGAGAGCCTCCTGAGTAGGAAAGTATTTAGCAGTGGTTATCTAGAGCCTCGAGAGCAATCTTATCTGCGTTCGTTTTACAGGAAAGGTGTGAAGTCGATAAGAATGAGAAAGTAAGCAATTCCCACCTGGGTGACTTCAAAGCCCTCAGACAGCCAGAAAACTTTCCCTTAGGCATTAACATTAAATTTTAACAGCTATTTTTAAGTATTCACGCCTAACCGGAGGAATGGATAGACGTTTCCTTCCATATTTCCAGCGTGGGCTTCAAGCGGAAATCATGTTTCCTTCGTGGCACTCCTGCTTTCAAAGAGGAATCGTACGTGCCCTTGTGGGCTTCAAAACTTGTGCCTGTACTTGGCCGTAGGTAAGGCGCTGGTCATTGGGGCTAGCGAGCTCCCCACGAGCTGGGACACACACTGGACCCAGCCCTGCCTGGCATTCTCCCAGCGCTGAGGCCGCTCAGCTGGGAGCCCGACGGGCATGCAATGGAGAGTGAATGGAGACAGCTCCGGGGCTGGGCTTCGGCCAAGGAAGAGGCGCTGGGCTGGCTGGACGGATGCTGCCCCTCTCTGCCCGGGACGCAGCGGGCAGGCTGCGAGCTTTGCAAGCAACTCGCCCCAAGCCCGGTTGCTCAGCCCCCTACAGGCGGGGACAGAGGCGGGCGCCCCAGCTAGGGGGAGGCAGGAGGAGACCCCAGGCACCGGCGCGCTGTGCGGGGCTGGGGAGGGACGCGGCGGTGTCTCCGGCTCCAACAGGCAGAAGCTCCCCGGGTGTCCCGGGGACCATCCCGCCTGGCCCGGCTCTTACCTTGCTGCGGATCTGGCCCGAAGTGGACACTTTCCGGATGAGTTTCTGGGGGCCCTCGTGCTCCCCCTCGCTGTCCGAGGACTCGTCTCCCGCCGCCGCCGTTCCCACCGCCGGGGGCTGGGGCTGCTGCTGGAGCCCGGCCCCGCTCATCCTCGCCTCGGCCCCGGCCATCTTCTCGGACTCCTGCCGAGAAAGAGCACACGAGTTCGGCTCAGCCCGGGCTGCCGCTCCCCTCCCCGGGCAGGAGGCGGCGCAGGGGGGAGGAGGAGGCGGCGGCGGGGACAAGCCGAGGAGGAGCCCGCAGCCAGCGCTGGAGGAGCGGCCCGCCCGGCCGCCATCTTCCGCCGCCTCCCCCTGCGCTCCGGGGCCGGGGCAGGGCCGCGCTACCGGCTCCCACCTGAGGGGGTGGGGGGCGGTCGCTGCCCCCGGGAGAGCGGCGGGGACACGCTCCCCATTGAGCCGGATCCCCCTGCCCCGGCGGCGCCCGCTCAGAGCAACAGGCTGGACACCGCACCCGGGGCGGTCAGGATCCAGCCCGGGACGCTGCCTCAGGTCGGAGCTGGGGGGGCATCGATCCCCTCGGAACCGGGCCCCGCGACTTTGTGTGGCTGGCTCCAGAGCCGCTGCGGGGGGCTGTGTGTTCCCCTCCCCTGCTCGCTGCCCAACCGCCCTCTGTGCAACTTTCCGCGCTACTCAGCTGTACAAAGGGACCTATGGCCGAAGGCGGGCAGCCGCCGGGCGCTGCAGGCTCGGGGGCATGCAGGATGAGTGCATGTCCCCCGGCCAACACAAACACACACCAAACGCGGGCCAGTCCCACCAAGGCAGGCGCAGAAGCTTTAGGGTTCGCTGCTGGAGTCTCAGCTGCTGGCTTTACTCTCGCAGCCGCACTCTGACCGCTGTGTGGGGATGCTGAGCCGCTGGCAAGCCAGGGTGCTGATGATGGAAACCATGCACGTGGTGTTTGTTATTACTACTTCAAGCTTGTTGCACCCCCAATTCCAGCACCACTGCTGGTAAGAAGTCTAGTCTGTTCCCCTAGAAGTCAATGGCTATGTCTTCATTGCACCACCAAACTTTTTAATCTGGATGTAAAATGCTAGTGGAGACAATGCACAGGTAGTTCTCCATGTAGCTAGTGGAGGTAGACTCCAGGTGCGGGGTGTAGTGTTGATTTCAACTACCTACACGGAGGTAAAAAAATACCGTGCCCCTTGTCTCCACTAGGATTTTACATCAAGATAGCTATCTCTGGATTTAAAAAACAACACCACACCTTTATTGTAGTGAAGACAAAGTCAGTGACCTCAGTGATAGTGGGACCAGCATACCTAGCAGTAAGATAAATACTGTCTATCTGAAGGCTTGTCTACATTACAAAGTTTTGCTGCTTCAGAGCCGCAGACTTCCTCTATCGTGTATCACAATAAAAGTGCTTTGCACAGGTATAACTTGTTCTGGTTCAGGAAGCATAATAATCTGTCCCAGCATAAAGCACCTTTATACTGGCATAACTCCAGTGGGTTTATAATGGTATAATATAGGTGTTTTTTTTTAAATCACACTCCAACCAACATAGTCACGTTGATATAATTTTCTAGTGTAATGTAGACCTGCCCTAAGGATTTATACTATCACCCATCTCTGTAGAATCTGAGCCCCTTCAATGTAATATCAATTAGCAATAGTGAAGTCACTAGTGGATTTTATGGAGGTTTTTTGTTTTTTCTCCCTTTTTGAGGTATAAAAGATTGTTTAGGATTGGGTTATGTGTATGTAGAAAGCCTTTAAAAATAAGACACTATTTTGCTCTAGATGAGAAAGACCTTTGTTGCATTGGTTCAGTTTAAAGTTTGAACCTTAGCTTGTAAGCTGTTTAGGGCAGAGACTTTTTGTTCCTTGTTCAGTTCCTAGCACAGTGAGGTCCTGGCCCATGATTGGGGCTTCTAACTGCTGCCACAATACTAACAATAAATAACAGGACACCACTAGTATCTTTTGTTTTGCTCCCACGTGTCTGAAACATTACACATCTGCAAGGACAGGCTTACAGTTATTTTCTTGTATTGTCTGTCCATCTCCCTAATGACCATTTTTGTTGTTTTTTCCATTTGCATCTTTTGCTTATTGTCACTCTTTTAGTCTCATGTTCTGCAGCTCAAACTTTTGTGACACACTGCCAGAGTGTTTCAGCTGTGAGAATCTTAAAATCCTTGTGGCCTGTTGGTTTATAATCAGTGTATATGGATAAGTATTTTAATCACAGAAACATTTAAGAGAACATTTACGAAAAACACACTGATGTTTGTCAGTGTGTGTATTTAACATAAGGCAAAGAAATATATATTCCATCCACAATTCCATTCATGTTTTTAGAAAGGAATCTGAAATCCCTAATATGTCACAGGAACAAAATGGAAACCATAGTTTAGGCCCTGCTCCTACAGATACTTATTTATGTCTTTCATTTCACTTACTTGAGGAGTCCTACTGATTTCACAGTATTTGCAGGATCGGAGCCTTGGTTTCATGTTGTTGTGTGAGGCACTTAAAGTCAGATGCTGCCACCCTTGCTCATGCCTTACTCTACTGGAAATATTTTAAAGGAATTTGCACATTATTTTCTGTATCTTTAGGGGCCAGATCCTGCCATAAGCACCACTTCACAGATATGATAACTACCTGTAATACAGCACTTTTCATCCTAGCTTAATTGCCTTTGATTGTGGGTAACAAAAGAAGCTAATGGATGAATATGCCGATGTTTAATTCTTCTCCAAAGGGGAACGTATTTGAGTCTCCTTTTCTATAAATCTATGATATAATGAGATGACAAACTGCAACAGATCCTGACTCATTTACAAATACTTGATATACTTTAGGAATGTGTATTCAAACTGAATATTTATGTGTGTGTTTGGTTAATATTCAAATACTAAGGTGACCTTACATGCAACTATATCCTGATCTTATTAACACTTGCTACTACATTAGTGCTTACCACTGTGAATTGTTGAATTTAAGTCAGTGGAATATCTCACACTGGTAAGCACTACACTGAAGTTATTGGGACAACGCACGTGAGTAAGATGGACAGGCTTTGGTCCCATATTTGCGAGTATCAGAGGGGTAGCCGTGTTAGTCTGAATCTGTAAAAAGCAACAGAGGGTCCTGTGGCACCTTTAAGACTAACAGAAGTATTGGGAGCATAAGCTTTCGTGGGTAAGAAGTGAGGTTTTTACCCACGAAAGCTTATGGTGCCACCAGACTCCTTGTTGTTTTTGTAGAATAGGGTTGGCAGTAGTGTTCTCTGTGATGGTGTGCAGGAGGGGACCCTGTAAACTTACCCTAGAGATAATTTAGGGTTTCTAAAGCTGCAGGTGAGTAAAATTTCCTAAGGCTGGCTTCTGACCTAGCTATCAGTGCTAGAAAATTGAGAACAGTAATTTTAAACTGGGGGGGGGGGGGGAAGTAGGCTGTTTTCCTATTAAGGCCTTAATCTGCAATATTTCCCCATAAAGCACATATAGATTTTTCTTTCAGACTTGAATCACAGGGTAGCTTGGGTTCTTTATTGGGACCAGTTTTCCCTGATAGTTTTGCATAGTATAAATTTTCTTGACCAGACAATTCTTGCATTGAAATGATTATGGTGTAGCACCTATGAGTACTATAACTGTTTGCAGAGAGTTCAATAAAGAATACTTTTGGGTAACTTTGTCTTGTCATCAAATAACCTGATATGTGATAGGTTCCCCCCCCCCTTCTGACTCCCTCTCTTATAGCATCATACCATTAGGAAGGAGTATTACTCTGGTTTGTCTCAGACAAACATTTGCAACTGGATTTCTGTCTTAGATTTGCTTGACTGTGGGTAATATAAGCCTAGTAAGAGAGGAAATGGCAAATGTCCTATACATAAGCTTCCTGAACATTTGAGAAAAATATTTTATCTGAAACAAAGTTCCTCCAAAACCCTTTTCTGGGGCCCCCATGTGGGTTTGATACGATGGTGGTAGAAGAGGAGGCAATGCACTTCAATCAAAAAGTCCCTGAGCACTTTCTAAAGAGTACTATTTTAACTGTACTTTTCTTAGCCTAAAAGAGTATTTGAGGTCATATGATATCTTTTAAAACTAAATCCAAACCTTCAAACAGCCTTTGGTCTTTAGAGCAGAAGGGAAATTAATCTAAGGTGAAGCAAAACCTCCCAGCCAGGGATTAATCCAGAAACCTCTCCAGGGAACCAAATTGAAAGCCAAATTGTGACAAGAGATTAATAGCCATGGGAGCATCACATATTTATATCTGTTGCCAAAGAAAAGAGATGGCATATTTTCTGGATTTTTTTCCCTCTTTAAATCTTGCTTTGCAGGTCTCTGACACAGCATGCTTACGGCGGAGTATACAACTGTACTGAGAACTGCATTTAACTTGTGACAGATAGGATATTTTAATGGACGTTCCCTCAAGGAGTAGCAAAGATTTTCCCACAGCTAGGTCTAGCTGTACTTCAAGCCATGAAGATAAATTAGAAGTATTTCTATTAGCCACTTTCAGCAGCCAACTGCTTAGCAGAAGAAAGCCAGTGTTCCAGATGTTTCTCTATTCTTTGGCGGGCAACAGCATTCAGATTGAGAAGTGTTTGTAGTTTGATTAGATAGAGACTTAGTGCTCAAGACACGTATTTTGATTAATATTTTCTATAGTGAAATAGCTGTCATGAAGGAAAGTGGAACTCCTAAACATATTCTTCACCAGATGAAAATCTCTTAAAAATAATAAAATAATAATAAAAAAACCACAGGAGTTCTGACCTTCCTTCTTCAGAATATGGCGCACACACTCAATTTTCTGTGTTTACTTCTGGAATGACCCCAAGAGGTTCTTGACTTAGGATCTGTCCATATACTCCAGCTACGAACAGCAGTTGCTCTTTAAAATGGCTGTCAAACAATTGTTTCACTGTTTAGATTCTCATTGACTTGCTCTGCAGCTCCCGGGTGAAGCGGCAAGTTACATGCCACACCACTCAATTTTAGCTATTTGTTTGGCAGAGGCCTCTCTGCCATTAGCTACTTTGGGATGTAAGTGGTCCCCCATCCTAAAGATTCGTCCACTGTGATTTCCAATCAATCACAAGGACACTGGAGTGACTGTTGGATACTGTCTTCCTGGAACCACAAGCTGAGTAGACAGACTCCAGAGACAAGCAAAAGCAGGTTAAAGAGCTCTGACTGAGGGCTAGGCTACACTACAGACCTATATCTGTATCACTACATTGCTCAGGAGTGTGAAGATTTTTTCACACCCCTGAGCGACGTAGTTATACCGACCTAACCCGTGTAGACAGTGCTACGTTGGTGGGAGAGCTCATCCCACCAACATAGCTACCACTTCCTGGGGAGATGGATTAATTATGCCGACAGGAGAGCTCTCCCTCATTGGCTTAGAGCGTCTTCATTATAGTGTTTTAAGTACAGACGTGCTCTGAGGCAACAAAAGGCAGAGAAAAATCTAGAAGAGCTGCACAGAGAAACATGGTAAGACCACACAATGTCAAACCCTCCCCTACCTTAACATACTCTGGCTGTAAAAGAGGTTATCTAAATCAAAGAAGTGACTTTCATAGTCAGAGGCTCCAAAATGAATGTGTTACATGGCTAAATACTGAATTTGGTCCCAGAACAAACCAAATCCATTGACGAGGAATTACACCCTGTACAATGTCTGGAACAGCCCCCCCGCCCCCCTCCGGTACACAAATTAAGATCCATGAGCTGAACTTGGTGCTGCTCTTATTTCTACAATAGTGTTTTCTCCCTTCATGTGGATGTCATCTTTTAAATTAGAATATGGGACATCAGCTTAATCAATGGGCCCCTCTTATTGTATTTAAACACTGCTAAGATTCAAATCCATCAAGTAAGCTAGTTGGTTATAACTTTATAGCATACACGAGATTACTGGAGATTGAATATATTCAAACATAAGATACTTGCTGTAGTCAGCGTGCATGAGGGTCAAGACAATGCCAACTGGTCAAGTCAGGGCAGCCTCAATTATGCTTATGGAAAGGTCTCTTTTGTACCATTAGTCAGAGGCAAGATACGATCTATGTCAGCTATACAGAGAAAGCAAGCATGCCTTCATTAAGAAGGGGTTGCTGGGTGAAACTGCACCAGAGCTAAAAGGATAAGGATATTGGTAAGTCTTCTTGCAACATTCCTAAAATGAAATAAGAAAACATTTAACACAAAAGTTTATTTAGATGGTCCACACTGGAAGACGTCTTTTACAGCTGGGCACTTGAAAGGAAAGAACATAATTACAATTCTGAGCATGAAATTAGTTCTCTTCCACACATCTGAACCAAGCCTAACTGCTTCACCAGCTGCAGTGAATCAAAGCAGGCAGAATTAAACAGAAAGGACCTAGAAGAAGTAGCTCTTGATGCCTTTAGCCTAGTAATTGTATGGCACCTGGATCCGGAAAGGCTAGAGCATTTAACAGTTTCAGATGTTCGGCTGATGTGGAGCACCGACTATTTGATCTCAGTGGAATGTAGGACCTCAAACAATGCATCTGTGTACTGGCTGCACTGCAGACCCGGGTGTGGACCCAGGGGGGGTATATAAAAGCTCAAATTACACTGCAGTTGGAAAGGAAAAATGCAGCCAAATATGGACTGCTATTTAACTGATACAACAACAATAGCAGATTTGGTCTTACACATTTCAGTCAATGTGACCCCAAGCCATTTCCAGACATGTTTTCAAATACTTCAACTCCATGTGGCTCTACCAGCTGTCTAAAAATCTTGGGGGCTTGAAGACTAGTGCTGTAGTCTTTGTACTTCTAAAGTGTCAAAGAGCTTGTTCTGGACTGAATAAACACTAAAAATAAACATTACATAAGAGTACATTGAAATCGGATATGCTAAATTTCCCCCTTTGATTTTTAAATATGACAAAGAGGATCCATTCAAAACCACCTTTATATCAGAAGTCAGTCTTGTAGGTCTTTTCTTTAAAGAATTTAAATTCTCCTGGGCCTATCATTTCAAAGTATAAAGATTACTCCAAGATAGATCCTTCCCCTTTTGTATCTGAACGAGCATTCACATACCATCACACCTCTCTTCTGAGAGTAAAGTGTCACAAATTCAGATACCTGTGATCTGCTATACAAGACACAAAACAGCTGTGACAAAGCACGGCAGATCCGAACTTACAGCCCTGCTTCTTCCAGGAGAGATGAAATACCCAGATGTAATAGCTAGGCCACAAACATCAGGCACACTCAGTGACAGCAACAATCTCTTTCTGGCCAGAAAGGCAGATTAATCATAACACTACCAATACGGTAGGACAGAACTGGTCCACTTTAAAAATTAAAGAACAAAAGTAAACTATGTAGAAATTAAATCGAAGGTAGAGGAAACAGAGGAAATCAAGAGTAATTGCAACCTTGCTGCTGTGGTTGGTAAGTGAATGTAGTCCTCATGGAAGCTGTTAAACTGACAGCTGGGAAAACTGAAGTCCTTAATGTCATCCAGGGAACAGATGGGAACTGCCTCACCTCTTACTGGGGAAGGAGCAGCTCAGTGTGTAGAGATGGGCATACAGGTAAGAATAATTCAGGCCTTTACTTTCTGCTGAGTGCAAAGAAGGGGGGATGGGGACAATTAATATCTGATGTGACTTGGGTCACCTGTCCATTAGAAGAGGATTCACACACTTCAAATAACTATCAGATATTAACTTTTAGTTACTAGGAGCCTGAGCTTTATCTGAACGGGTGGACTAGAGGTGAAAGGCTCCCATCACTATACACCCGAGCCATCTAGTCCTATTAGAACACTGCTAAGTCAACCACCTCCTATTTCAACAATTAGTGTTATTGTTGGAAAACTACTCTCAAAATGCCCAGAAAATAGAGGACAATTCTCCAGGAAAGAGGCAACGACTTCTCCCTTCTCAGCATATTTACACCCTTTCCTTCTGTGGATCAGGCTCAGATGCACAGAAACTGGTACAACTTAATATGCTGGCGTTGTCAACATCTGTCATGACAACACCCCAATCAGCCAGTTCAAATAAGAAATTCTAGACAATATTTGTTATAGAGAAGTAATACTACTAT